AGCTTCTGATCCTACGACTTCCTTGCGCTCATCCAAAACGCGCCTCAGACATAGTCTCTCGTGCTATCGCAAGGTGTACCTGCCCCCAGGTGCACTTCTGAAACAGCCTCAGGCACGCCATCAGACTCGCCGTCCCAGAAGAAAGGAAACGATCACACCACCCTGGTATTACCCCAGACTTCGGATTCGGTTCAATTTTTGGCCTGGGGTGACAAAGCGAGGCTTCATCTCATTGGAGATAATGTCGCATCACCTTCTCTACATCTCCAGCAGCTTCATAATCTTTGAGACTTTGTGGTAGTAACTGCAAGCCTTGGTTCATGATGGTACAGCTCTTAGACTTGCCCCGCGAATTGCGCGATGCTATATACACAGAGCTGCTTCTATCATGCCGACCGCGTCCATCGTTAGAGGATACCAGATCAGACACCGGATGGTGCCGCATACAGGAGCCTGAATCGCCTTTCTCACTTGGCTGTCTAATCGCATCACAGAGGAGACCGCCTACATGTGCTAGCTTCCTGGCGTGCAACCGCCAAGTGAATGAGGAGATGATGCAAATTATCCAGAGAACGAAGCGGAAAGGGCTGCTTGCTGCATGCATGGATTGTTTTGAAGTTTCCGGCACATATCATTTTACGTGGCTTTCTGCGCCGCTCGTCACAACAAAAAGAAACGATCTTCGGAGGGAGCAAGACGACGGGAATGCGTCATTTACTAATGTCTTGTCGAGCTGGGCATCATTCCTTCTTGCTCCCATCACAAGTCACCTTACAGGCCTGGGTAGCAGAGTACCCGTATCCAAGGCATACACGACGACCATCGAGCGGCTGTGGGTGGACATCAGAATATCTGAGCCGAATGTAACAGCTGAGCTTGCTCCTTACAACCGCACAGCTTGGGAAGTGTGTGCAGCGCTCAGGCACATATTTGAGCACGGCCCGGACCCCATCTCTAAGAGTCGAAAAATCGCTTCTATTGACGAAGTCGTCCTCAACGTGCTACCTCAAGGAACTCGACATGGTACACCTCTGATGTACAGATCAAGATCACTGTCGACGACATTGATACAAGAATTCCCTAAGAACTGGACAGATGTAATACGTGACCAGTTGGTCAATATCTGGGCCAAACTCTGGGCTGCAAATGACTTCAACACGGTGGATTACCAGGCACGATACTATCGCATGCTGCTAGAGAAGATCAACAAAGTGCGCGTCTGCGTTGATGGAAAGACATTCAAGACAAGAGAATTGGCCATCGAGTTGGAAAGAGGGAGAGCGGAAATGAGGCGGATTGCGAGGAGGTAGCCAGCCATCGAAATAGTCAAGGGCTTTCCTTCCTTTCCTGGTCAAAGTGACTCGAAGCGGTGAGAACGAGCGGCCGGAGATGAAGCGACTGGGTGAAGGCTCTGTGCGCTTTCGATGTGTCTAGAAGTACAATCCATGAAGCAAAACCCGTTCTGTGGATTTGTGTAAATGCACATACATCGTACCTGACATACCTGACACATGCTTTGGGCGGGTTCATCAGCGCATGGGTCTCTAAGAGGCAAAAAGCAAGCTACCTAGGTATGCTCGCGGTTCCGCGTCGCTACGGGTGCGGCGTAATGGCTAGCTTGCCATGGCCTCGTCGCATGCCAATGTGCCAAATTGCACGCCCGAGCAGTGTTTCCGATGCTCTAGAAATTGCTGACGAGGCTTTTTCACGTTGAATCGTTCGCGAGCACGCCCATTGGTGCGATGCTGTCAGGGGTAATCTTAGCCTCGGTTCGGCACGCCCTAGTCTAGACCTGCCAGCCGGGCTTCGACGTGAACATTTCCTGACACAAAGGTCTTGTCGATCGAACACGAAGAGCCCGCACCAGCATGCCCTCTTTATGCGAGAACCTTCACGCCAGCAATGGCCTATGGAGATCGCTATCGATAGCGCCCCGCACACGCGCGACTACAGTCGGACAATAGGTACCCAAGTAAGGCATACCATCGCTGACTACACCTCGTTCAATACGCCCAGTGGCGTGCTTGGCACGGCGAGATACGTTTCGTGAAACAGGGCTCCGCGTGTCGCCCCTTGCTGCTTCAAGCTGCGCCCCTGCCGTCATTCGTCGCCATTGTCAACTTTACGAAGAGACTCCACTGCACCCCACACTCGGATTGGCCAGACCGTCGTCCTTCTGGCTCAGGGGCACAATGTGCCAGACGGCCCCTGCATGCCAACGTGTGTCGCGGATCGCATGTTAGACCATGATGGCGCTGCCAAAGGTGCGGGAGCGAATCCCCGTGGGCGCCATGGGTTTGCGAGGATTTTTTTGTGCGAAGGTGCAGATACGCGTGTTTTATATTTAAACATTGGGTGGGAGATCTTTACTCCTGGCGGGAGTGGTTTGTCTTCGCTTGCCTTCATTACTCACATTACCTCACCTACCTCTTGCTTTTGTCACACTCTTTCCTCATCGTCTTTAGCATTTCTTGCTTTCAGTCTTTACAAAAGCTACACCAGCTCTCCATCTACATCACTCGCTCACTCGCATTGACCATATCCTGTCCTTTGAATAGCATTACTGCTTAACACCACTTCAACTGCTGGACGGTTGCTACGCTGATTCCGATACTTACGGACAAGATGGCGGCGTCTAATGCTTCGACTACGAAGACGCTTCGCCCGGATAATATTGAGATACCACCACCTTCATCGAGTGGTACGAACAAGCCAGCAGAGGAGTTTGAGGGACCCATATCACCGCGGTCATGGCGACACCGTACTGTTACGTACCAGGTTCCTTCAAGAAGGGTAACCAACGGCAGCTTAGATGCTGAAGATTACTTTGTAGGTTTCTCTTCAATGTGATAGCCTTGCATCTTACTAACAATCAACAGATCGGTCCTCGTGACATGTCCAAGCACAGCAAATGGCCATACTTCATGCGAATGCACGGCTCGGTCTTTCCAAAGATGATTTTACCACTCACAGTAGTAACTCTCTGGTCGACTCTCATCACATGCGTCTCTGAATTCATATTTGAGCTCAAAGTCAGCACTCTTCTTCTGACCGTTCTTGGTTTCGTCGTTGGTCTTGCCATTTCTTTCCGAACAAGCACCGCATACGAGCGTTACACCGAGGGCCGAAAGTACTGGAGTCAGTTGATCTTTGTTAGCCAAAACTTGGCAAGGACCATTTGGTACCACACTTCCGAACGCGAAGGCGACCTCGGAAAGGAGGATCTTCTCAACAAGCTCTCTGCGCTCAACCTTCTCAACGCATTTGCCTGCTCTGTCAAGCACAGGCTCCGGTTTGAGCCTGGTATCGACTACCCCGATCTTCGCGACCGCATTGAGTACCTGGATACTTTCGCCCGCGCTGCTGAGCTCGACATCCCCAAGCCAGGAGACAAGAAGAAGATCAAGGCTGTTGGTGAATACCTCGGTGTCACATTCGCCGAGTCGAACCCCCGCAAGAGGATCAAGCGCTCCAAGAAGCCTCTCGGCAACCTGTCTCTCGAAATCCTGAACCATCTTTCCTGCTACGTCCACAGCATCATCGACAATGAAACGCTCAAGGTCGGTCTCTACCAGAACCAAGCCATTACCGGTGTTGTTCAGCTCAACGAGGCCCTCACTGGTATGGATCGTGTTCTCCAGACTCCTTTGCCTATCGCCTACTCCATCGCTATCTCGCAAATCACTTGGGTCTACGTCATGATGTTGCCTTTCCAACTGTGGGATGACCTCCGCTGGATCACCATCCCCGGTTGCATCTTCGCCGCCTACATTATGTAAGTTTCACTCAATCCACTTCCTATAATCAACGCTGACAACCTCTAGCATCGGTCTCTCAGCCATCGGTCGCGAAATCGAGAACCCCTTCGGTCACGACGTCAACGATCTTCCCCTTGAAGCCTACTGCGAAGAACTCGAAATGGACATCGACACCATCACTGCGCAACCACCTCCCGCCGCCGCAGAATTCATGCGCCGCCCAGGCAACATGCCCATCTGGCCACTCAGCCAGAAGAACTTCGAGTCCTGGGCCGGAAGGAGCAAGCAGGATATCCGCGATGCGCTGATGACAAAGACAAAGGCGGATATGGCGGTCCGCAAGAGCTTTGCTGTTGCGAGGGAGAGTGAGAGCGAGGAGAAGGAACATCATGGGTTGCAGCAGCAGCATGATGCGTAGACGGAAAAGCAGTGGAGTTGTGCATTCGCATTTTAGAAGCGTTGGGCGCTGGTCAGGTGTTTATGGGGGTGTTCTTTTATCTTCCACCCAGGTTGTGCTTTCGATCTTAACAAAAAGGGTTCCATATCCCGCATAGCGAGGGTTTTATATGTGGCAATACTAGCCTTTATTACACTGTGTTCCAGTTTTCTCAAGTCGACTGCCTGTTTATATGGTGATCTTTGCTTTCGAGGTGCGGATCACCGAGCCATGAACCCGTATATTTTCATTGCTCTAAATTTGTGACTATCGTCGTCAGATAACCTCAGTTGGTCAGCTATTGGTAACCGCCTAGATATGGTGTTGAATGGGCGCTGTTGACTGTGGACAGACTGATGGACTATTGCAAGGAGCATGGAGGTTATCCGTCCGCCGATATGAACATGTGAGATGGCTGCAACAAAGGGATCATGTGGTTGGTATCAGATGAGTATGCGCCTGCAACCTATGTGTAGTTCTTGTGGTGTTGGTCGTGGAAGCGACGACGATGGCACTCACAAAGCATCGTTCCACCCCTAGGCTAGCGCGTGATGGCGCTTGGGCGTATGACGTCGCACCTACCCTACGCTTCACATCTGACGCTTGGGACGACTGCTCACATGCGGCCCAGGCCATCATTCATCCAAACGGCCCGTCTGCGTCAGGCATGAACTAATGCACCCCTCTTACTTTGCGGGTCTGATATGCCTAGACCTGCTAGCATCTGGCATTTCTTTCACACTCTACAGCTGAGCTGAACTTGACCAAACCTCACCCGGGCAACATCTTCAATGTCTGCAAACACAATGCCGGACCCACCGGCTACTTCGGTCATCGTACAGGCAACCGCGACAGAGATTCCAACCATCATCGAACCAGAAGCAGACGCAGAAGAGCGTGGCCGGCTCAAGCGACGTAGGCAGTCGTCACAGCATTCTCCACGCCGCGCATCCTCACCATCTCGCGGCCACGATCGCAACAGCGGTTCCCGATATCGAGAGCATCACCGCAAACATCATCGCCCTTCGTCTCCGACGTCTTCCGTCTCTCCGCCCACATCCGACCAGAAGAAGACCAGGCGGCGTAGTGATGCCGAGCCTGATCATACATTCAGAGGACGAGCACGCAACAGGAGTGGCAGCAGGGGAAGGACTAGGAGCCCCATCTTGGAAGCCGATGATGCATGTGCCGAGAGCGAAGATGATGTAAAGAGATTCAGGAAGAGAAGTGCGCCGCCCAGTCGGCACAGGATTGACGACTCGGACGAGGGGGGTGAGGTTCGGCGGCAGAGAAGCTACCCCAATCTATACAAGGAGGACAGGAGAGATTCGAAGGGCGAGGCTGGAGGGAAGACACAAGGAGTGGGTTTCGTGAACTCGACAGGAGAAACTGAAGCGGTGCCCCACTAGGTGGACTAGCGTCCTGATTTGTTTTGGCCTGTGTACTCAGGACATATTCTTACAGAGAGGTTCAATATGATACATTGATGCATGTTGATTATGTACGAATAGCATTACAATTCTGTGGTTGCGTTTGCCTGGCTTCGGCTGTCTTGTCACTGACCATAGCACGCGACAACTGTTCTAGGGTCCCGCTTGCATGATCGTAGCGTGGCTGTGCACGCGACTCAAACGTGGCGCCTACAACGCGCCTGCACCATGCTATCGTGCTCGATGCTTGCTGCCCCTACGATGACTGCCGAGATCTTTTCTGCAGGTACAGCATAGATCGCATCCGAAGACTCCGGACTGCTCACCTCAGCATCGTATCCATCGTCTCGAAGGTTCCATCGCGAGGCGCAACAAAAAGCGCCCCACCCCCGCGGCCCTACCAATCATTGAAGCTTAACTCCGCCCTCACTCCCGTCGATTAACCTTCAGCCTTACCCCCTCCGTCGCTCGCTCACTTACCCCGTTATGCCTCCGCCAGGCAACGAATATGCCGCCGAGCAGCTGAAGAACTCGGGCAACAAGTGCTTTAAGAATGGCGACTACGAAGGAGCCGAGGGGCTGTACTCGCAGGCGATTCAGAAGAACTCCGCCAACCCTCTGCTGTTCACGAACCGCGCAAATGCGAGGCTAAAGTTGGAGAAGTGGGAAGGAGTCATAGATGATTGTATACGGAGTATCGAGCTCCTGAAGGACAATATGAAGGCATTCTTTTACTTGGGTATGCTCCCGTTTCCTACAGAGGGGCGTCAATCGTGACAGTTGCCTTACCACCATTGCGCGAGCTCTGCATGTCAAATTCCAGGCTGATAATAGCATAGCGCAAGCTCAACTCGCGATTAATCATCCCAACGAAGCCCTATCTTCGGCCCTCATGGCCTACGAACTATGCACCACCTCCGCGCAACAAACCTCCAACGCAGCCACGATATCCGCTCTCGTTTTGAAATGCAAGAAAGCCAAATGGGACATCCGCGAGCGAGAAAGGATACGGCGGCGTGGCGATCTGCTCTCCGACCTTGAAATGATGCTGGAAACAGAGTTCAAGAAGGACATGGATGAGATAGAAGCACGTATGGAGACAGGGGAAACCAGTCGTTCAGACGGACAGGAAGAGAAAGCAGAGCGAAAGACGGAGTTCGAGAAGAAGCGCGACGACCTCAGAACCGCTTTCGCGATTTCTGACCCGGAGCATCAGCAGAAACGTGAGGTCCCGGATTACCTCGTCGATGGCATAACGTTTGAGATTATGCACGACCCGGTCGTAACTAAGAATGGAAGATCGTACGAGCGCGCTACGCTGATTGAGCACCTCAAACGCAGTCCAACGGACCCGCTGACGAGAGAGACTCTTACCATCAACGAGCTGAGACCAAACATTGCCCTCAAGGAGGCATGTGAAGAGTTCATGACTGCAAATTCTGGGTGGGTCTATGATTGGTAGGTTTGCGAGACTTCATTGGTCCGCTTTATATTATGGCAGGTACGTGGAGGGTAGAAATGTCGAGAGTCTAAGAGCGTGGAGGATGTGCGCTGACAGCATTGTAGTGAGGAGGGTGAGGTAGATTCGGATGCGCGCTGGGCGCACTTATCTTCAGCTTGAGGTCGACCCCACAATCAATGTGCGCGGACGATTATCATATTTGCATCGGCTGGCGTTTGTTGTTGGAGATGTCGTCTTTTGTGCCTGTACACTCATCATCAGCGAGTATTGAGCGTTGTTGAAGCAGTCGTAGTTCGATACCCACAGCTACATGTATTCCTCCATTTCTCTTCTGGCATCTTGACGACACATTCCCGAAACTACATTTTTGGAACCACGTTCTTGAAACCCACATTCCTGATGCCACATTCCTGATGGGACACTTGCTGTGGAAAAGGAATGGTACGCGTTCTATCAAGACCCTCAGCACACCAATTCCGCGAAAGCGCTGACGCCCAGAATTCCAGGGCGCCCCTTTTCCAACACTGATGTTCAGTTGGACTTGCAGCGCTCAAGCGTCTAGCTCGGATGGTCGATCTCGAAGACGGGCCTCGCTTACGTGGGCCCAACGTTGGCCTGCTAAGCTCCACACTACTTTGTAGCAACCTCGGCAGCTTGCAGCCTGTGATCGCTGGCTGCCTTGACTACACTAATTTGGCTTCTAACCCAAACTGTGAAGCCGTAGTCGCATGAAATACGCTAGGAAAGCTTCAATGGGGCGTAGAGTACATGTGGCAACCGGTCAGGATCTCGTATTTCGACTAGTCTCGGGCGCACGATGATGGGATACACCGATGTAAGGTAAAAGACGGGCTACCTAGGTAAGGTGGGGAGGTGAGATACTCCGCAGCTTGTGATTTAATGACTGAACAGCTCGATCATAAACACCTATTCTTTCGCCTTGCTTGTACCTATCACGACACATGATGGATACAACACGCCCCGCTCCCTGGCCACAGGCCACTAACGAACTTCTTCCAAACACACTGTTCAAACTTGCAGCTCAATATCCTTCCGCGACGTACGCAGAGTTTCCGGTAAATCCGCACAAGATCGAGGATGGCTATCGTCAAATTACGTTTGCTGAAGTAGCAAATGCCGTCTCTGCCTTCGCGTGGTGGCTCGAAGAGAACATCGGGAAGCTGCAAGAAGAGGAAAAGGACGGAACACGAACTTTGGTGTACATGGGACCGAACGACATACGATATGCGATATTATGTCTGGGAAGTGTGATTGCGGGATACAAGGTAAGTCGTCCTCCGACATGAGCGTCTTGATGGTGGTTCAAATGGCTAAGGACGAAGATAGATGCTCTTTCCATCGCCAAGATACGGAGCTGAAGCACTGGTCAAATTGATTGAGAGTGTGGACGCAAAGGCCATGCTAAAGTCTGAGATTCCGATACCAGTTGTCAAAGACGTTCTGTCAATGAAGGATATGAAGACCCTCCAGATACCGAGTGTTGAGCAACTGCTCACCTCAAAAGCGGAGCCGTATCCTTACAACAAGACCTATCAACAAAATTCTCGCGAACCTTTCGTTTGTCTCCGTACGTACGCTCGCTCCCGTCTGACCATGCTACCTCTAACCAAACGCAGATACATCCGGCACAACGGGCTTTCCCAAACCCATCCTTTGGACACACGAGTGGACTAACAGTGTAGCCCAAACCATGTATCTCACCGCACCACCAGGTTACGAACTAGAGCAAGAGCTTCTCTATGGATCAGGGAACGGCCGAGGCATGCGAGCAATGTTTCTCTTCCCGCCTTTCCACGCCAGCGGTATGATCGGTATGATCCTCTTTCCACTGCAGCTCGGTGTAACACCGATTTACCCGCCAACATGGATGACACCAGCTGCGGGTGTGGATAGCGCACTAGCCGCTTTGGACATCGTCGCCGCAAGGGATGGAGGCGTCGGTGTCGATTGCCTGACACTCGTGCCACCCTGTGTCGAGTATCTAAGCAAGAGCCCAGAAGTCCTGCAGAAACTCAGCAAAAGAACGCAACAAATCGGCTGGGGTGGCGGCAGCGTGAGTACTCACGCAAGTGAGTTTGTCGCAGCGCAGGTGTCCGTGTTGAATGTCATGGCATCGACCGAGCTCGGCGTCTGGCCTAGCATCCGTCGCAAAGATGCAAATTCATTGCAATTTGCGTACTGGGAGTATACGACACTTCACCCCGCTCTCAATATCCGCTTCGACCCTGTTTCCGCTTCCACGGACGGCGTCACTCTATATGAAGCTGTCATGCACCGCAACGACGGGAAGGAGTACGGCGGCTACGTACAACCCATCTTCTCCATCTTCCCAGACGCAAAAGAAAGGCGACTTGGTGATTTGTTTACAAAGCATCCCGAAGATTCGGAGCGATGGAAACACTACGGCCGGGCTGATGATCTTCTCGTTTTTCTGACGAACGAGAAGTTCTTCCCTGCGGCGGCAGAACAGAGGATTGCAAGTCATGCTTCAGTTGCGGAGGTAGCGATGGTAGGGACGAGAAGGCCTAAAGCCTCGTTGATTGTTAAGCTGGAAGATGGGAAGGATGTGCATGAGATCTGGGATACGGTGGAGGAAGTGAACAAGAGCTCGCCGGTTTATGCGCGCGTGGAAAAGGAAATGATACTGGCTGTGAAAGAGCCGTTCCCAAAGACGGCGAAGGGAACAGTGCAGAAAAAGGCTTTGCTGGATTTGTATGAGAAGAAACTGGACGCTTTGTACGGAAGTGTTAGTGCCTAGGCGCATGCGCCCTGCACATAGAACTAACAGCCGATCTAAGCATTGCCGCTCAGCTGCTGTTTCCAGCCTGCCGGGCAGGTACCCGTACATGCTAACCCACTGTCACTGTTCATATTAGAACAGAGTATCTTCGCCGTGCCACCATTTTTCGGCCTGATGTCGATGTTCTTGAAATGCAAGCCCGTGCAAGGTGCGCCGCCACTGCAGTAGATACCCGCGGCCACATTGTATCTCGAGGTACCAGTCATGTTTTCCCAAGTAATGTCGCTGATTTTCAAGCGGCTCGAATCGCAGTTCTGGTAGCTGTAGATACACGGCGAGACGTATATAGGCTGATTGACGTCCTGAAACTTGATGTTGCGGAAGGTGACGTTCTTCACATGGCCTTGGCCAGGGTATGTCTTGATCCAGGCCGCGTTGGAACTATGAATAGCAGTGATGTCTTCGAAGAGTACGTTGTCTACCGTCTCGGGAACGTTCGTGGGATTACCCATTGAGCCAATTACCATGGCGCCAGACTCGTAGCACGTGGCGTTCTTGACATGGATGTTTTTGCTGTTGCCTTTAACCGATATGCAGTCCTTCGAACAGATTAGGTATAGCACAGACGCGAGATCGATGAGGACTTACATCGCCGCACGTCACGACCCAATTTTTGAGCACAATATCTTGGGAGTTCCAGCTATCGAAGCCATCAGTATTGACGGTGCCCCATTGGGAGGATGAAGTGGCGTTCATGTCAAGGTTTGTCATCGTGATGTTCTGGGAGTAGGCGACGAACGTATGCCTTTTGTGCGGTTAGCAATAGGCTCTGGAACGGGTAACTATGGTCCCTCATGTTGTTGTAGAGACATACCAGAACTGGGACTGCCTCCAAGTAATTCCATCAATCCATACATTCTTCGCATGCCAGAGTGTCAGACTGATGGGCCTACCGGCCATGTTGCTCCCATCACGGTTCACGTCGTACCACTTCTGCCCATTGCCAAAGAAGAGTGCTTCACCGTGACCTTGCAGAGTGAAGTTCTCACCGCCCAGACGGAATGCTGTACTTCGTTGGGAATATGTCACACTAACGCTGTTGCGGACCCAGTACTGGATATCGTCGCTCCAAGTCAGTTTGCCGCGAATGGAGATGTCACAGTTGTTGAGGTCCAGGACGTCCATGACTTTGGCGATGGTATAATCACCTTTCGTGATCTCAATCTGACCGTTCTGGCCACATTGCTTGAAGGCGTCCATGATGAACGGGCTGTCATCCTTGGTGCCGGACGGAGTGACGGTGCAGAGGGTGCCAGTCTTGGTCATACCAGCAAGCGCTGGTACAAGGAGAAGCCAGAGATGAAGTAAAGTGAGCTGAATCATTGTCTCGACTTCGAACAGAGTCCTGTAGAGTAAGGAACAGTGGAGAAAAGCTAAGATACTCAAGCTTTATGAAAGCTTGTACGGTGGGACCGTTGCGCCCCGCAAGCAGGTGTCATCCTACAGACTATACGCATGGAGTAATCTGAATAATCCTAATAGCGAGCATGGCTGATATCATTGGTGCAAGTATTCTCTGAGATGGTAGTTTCTCCGTGCAAGTACCCGCCGTACCACCGGATGTTGTTCGGCTCTTGAGCTCTGAGCAATCTAATAGATGAACAGGCCGGGATATCGCTGTGGGGAGCGAAGAAATGTGTCGGAAAGCTCTACGCTAAGAGCAGATCAAGCTGGGGATGGACTTCTCGATGGCTCATGATTGAGCATCCCAACAAGATCTGATGTCCGGCCAATGATGAAGACTGGAGTATCAGTAGCCCTTGTGAGATCAAATCCAGAGAACGACTGACGGAGTGAGATAATCCGCAGTTACAGCCTACTGAACGAGGCCTTTAAAGGTGACCCGTGAGAAGACCAGACCAATAAAGCTTGAGTCGTTGTTGAAATCGACTGTTGAGATTGGTACGATGATCATGCTTGGGAAACGAGTATGCGCCACATGAGTATGGGCAAGACGTCAGATCGAATGAGAGCGGGAGATGCGAGAAGAACCGACTTCGTTGCAGATGTGTCGTATACAGCCACAAAATCAGGTTGTGTAGAGAAGGAGAGGATGTAGGAAACGCGGCACCGGTACCTGGTGCCAAGCCCGCGTCATTGGCTGGTTCCGAGCTTCCTCACGGCTCAAAGTCGGCAGCGCCATCTCGACCAGGCAATTGTGCAGCCATTGAGTGTCGCATGGGCTGCCTATCACACCCATGATGATGAACCCCGCCGCGAATATGCGTGCTCTACGCGTACGGCCATCGGTACCGCGCTGCCGCCCCTCACATCGCCCGTTCCAGCACCCCAGAAGACAAGCCACGACGGCCACGGAAACCGCGACCAACGTTGGATCGGCTGGTACCCGTACCAAGAACCTCGTATACGGCACCCTCCTGACGCTCGGTGGTACTTTTGGCTACCTCTACGTCACCGATACGCGCGCAAGCATCCACGAATGGCTTGTTGTGCCTGCGCTACGACAAATATACCCTGATGGCGAAGAGGCGCATCATGCTGGAACACATATGCTCAAGGTGCTGCACAGCTTTGGCCTGAACCCTAGGGAACGCGGCGTGGCTGACTCCCAGGGTGATCTGGCTGTCGAAGTCTTTGGACACACACTGAACAACCCGATTGGAACATCTGCCGGCATTGACAAGGGCGCCGAAATACCGACACCGCTGTTTGAGCTCGGAGCAGGAGTGGTAGAGGTGGGAGCTGTCACGCTGCTGCCACAGGAGGGCAACCCCAAGCCCCGTGTCTTCAGGATACCCAGCCAGAACGCTCTCATCAACCGCTACGGCTTCAACTCGGAAGGCGCCGAGCTGGTCGCCTCACGGTTACGACAACGCGTCAGGGAATTCGCATACCACGCTGGCCTTGGACTGGGTGAAGATGCCGAACGCCAGGTCCTCGACGGTGAAGCTGGCGTTCCTCCAGGCTCGCTGCTCAAGGGGCGTCTAATGGCCGTGCAGGTTGCGAAGAACAAGACGACCTCCGAGAACGACATCGATGCTGTAGTACGCGACTATGCCACCGCCGTGGGCCATGTTGGCAAGTACGCCGACATTCTAGTAGTCAACGTCTCCTCGCCCAACACACCTGGCCTTCGCACTCTCCAAAACGTCGAGCCCTTGACGCGGTTGCTCTCCGGAGTAGTAGGCGCCGTCAAGAAGATCGACCGCAAGACAAAGCCTGTTGTTATGGTCAAAGTCAGCCCCGATGAGGACTCGGAAGAGCAGGTGTCAGGCATCTGTGAGGCAGTCTGGGACTCCGGTGTGGATGGTGTCATCGTTGGCAACACCACGAAGAAGCGACCAGACCCACTGCCGAAGGGCTACCTACTTCCCCAATCAGAAGCAAAGTTGCTTCTCGAACAGGGAGGCTACTCAGGTCCCCAAACTTTCGAGCGCACACTTTCGCTTGTCAGCAGGTACAGGAAAGCGCTTGACGAAGGCCCAAAGCACATTGCACCACCCTCAGAAGCACGCACCGACGAGCCAGCCGCTGGCCAGAGCACATACGGAAAGTCCTCTACCGGGTCTTCGAAAACCAAGCCAACGCTCGATCTCGATCAACCGTCCCCAACACAACTCTCTTCCAACGTCGACGATCTTTCCGAATCAGCACCTACAATGACCCTTCACTCTACACCCAGGACTGCGCCAGCACCAAACGCACCACGCAAGGTTATATTCGCGACGGGCGGCATCACAAATGGTCGGCAGGCGAGAGAGATCCTCGATGCGGGAGCGAGTGTGGCACAGGTATACACTGCTATGATCTATGGCGGTGCAGGCATAATCAGCAAGATCAAGCAGGAGATGAGGGACGATGCAAAGGAGCAGAAGACGATCACCAAGCGGTAGCCAGAAGAAGCGTGGGTAGGCATTGTATGTATACACTGTCTTCTCTAAATGCATTACTCAATTCATGAGATTATCCTTCACTCTACGAGCCAAGTGTGCAGGGGCTCATTCGTGACGCAAACATATCCTTCAGTTTAAGACGCTGCTGGCTGACTCTCATCAGCCAGCCAGTCTACTACCTCTACCGCCAGTTTCATGAAATCCAGCGGCTCAGGAGGAACTATAATCTTCCCGTTAAGCACTAGCCTCAGTAGAAGCTTGATGCTGCCGCACGACTTGAGTTCTGCCCGTAAGCCCTGTCGCTTTGCTTCGCTCGCAATCAAGATGGTTACCATGGCACCATCAGTAAGACAGAAGTGGCTCTGCTTCATCTTGTGTCTTGCACGTAGTGCAAAAGATGCCTTACTTTCACACTGCTTAAGAACTTGCGCGTCTATTGGAACACCCGCATCAACCAGGTGGCGGGTCATAAGGAAGTGGGTCGTTGCCCTGTCTGCAAAAGTTGTCATACCTTCGACGAGATGTTGTGATCCGATATGGGCGCCGCGGCTTTTGAGGAGATCGACCAAGCTTCGATGTCCGTAACGTGCTGCTTCCAGCGATGTTTGTTGAATGAGGTGATCCCGATTAAAAAGCACGAAATCGCCACCAAGTATGCGGCATACGAGTTCGGAATGTCCAGCTTCGCAAGCTTCTTTTAACGCGTACTGCAAATCGCCGTGGTGATCCCCTGGATTGCGTTTCGGGATATCGTCCTTCAAAATCGTCACGAGGGTTTCGGTTTTGCCGTTTTGTGCTCCATCGGTAATCAACTTTTTCCAAATCTCCGGTATTCGGGCTTCACGGCGAGTGACGAAAAATTCTAGTAACATTCGCACTGATTCTGTGTCTCCAGCTTTCATGGCATGGCACACCGCAGTCTCGAATGTGACGAGAATCCAGTCACGTTCCCGCGCTCCAAGAGTCGGGAAATCATGTCTTGCAAGCTCTACAAGCTTGCGAACCATTGGAGTGTGGCCACACACTGCAGCTGCTTTGATCGGGCCAGTGAGTATGCCAGAAGTGTACCCCAGAGGGTCTGCCCCTTGTGCTATGAAATGATCGACAGCTTCGATATTTCCCACAGCGGCCGCCGCGGTCAAAAGATCTACCGAGGTTATCGGCGTTGCAGAGTGCTTCAAATCTTTCCTTCGATCGTTATCCATTGTATCTGGGGGTAAGAAGTCCGGCTTGCTGGAATATTTGTCGGAACCATCTCGCAGTATTTCCATGCCTGGTCTTAGGACGCTATAGGTGAGACATATATCACTAAGATAGGCTTTGCGCACAGTAGTGTCAATGACATCGTTTGTGGGGTTCGCAAATTGCATCATCTCGTCAGTAAGTTTGTCTGTTGTCGATATTCCGTTAGCAATTTGCACTCGACTTTTCGCCAAAAACATTTTCTCACTTACTGAGGCACTTGGTCAAGTCCCGGTTCATACCACGATTGCGCATACAATGATTCATGTGCAAAGTATGCGAATTCTTTCGGAGGAAAGTTGGTGGTCCGTTATCATGACGGTCATCAACTTCCGGCTCGATGTTGCGGAGATATGTCTCGTAGACGATTGCCGGAGTTTGCGCCAACAGTACGTGGTCGATCGCATTTCGAAACGTCCCTAAAGACGCATTAGTCGCGAACAAACAATGCCGATGCAAAGTGAGGAATTAATATGAACCTGCTCGGATCTCTACCAAAGCAATCGAGTATGTACTTACGAGACACGATGCGAGCACGAAAGCTCTCGTGGAGCGGGACGGTATCGACGTACACTTTCAGGATTGGGTCGAAGAGCTCCGCAGGTAGGGTTTGGATTAACGTCATGGCGAAGGTAGCACGATTTACTTGGACTGTGTCTTGTTTGATAGCTACATGTGTCGTGCTACGACATAGGAAGCGGGGAAGGGGCTTGTTGGATTCTTATCGATGAAACTTGCAGGGTTCGGAACACCTCGCACGTCCCTAGGTAAACAAAGGGTCCCTTGGTGAGGTAAGCGAGACGCGACCATGGGCGAGATCTGTTTGTGTGCGCGCTCGTCTCGTAATAATCCAATTGCGATAACTTTAAGGGGTACTTTACGTAGTTAGGTATGTAATAACTCTAACTTGCCGACGAATGCTGCGCTGGTACGTCTCTATGTAGATCTGAGCTCGTCACGGTCACTCGATTTGCAATGCAACGGCTTAACTCTCATCAAATTTCAGATAGAACTTGACGCTCTTCCATCCCGATAGATCTCTTGATGTCAGTTATGATGGGAGATAATGCACGACGAGGTGAGCCGTCACCTCTTCACGATGACGTCAGACATCATCACATCGGCTACCTCTGTGCACGTCCCCTCAGAAGCTGGCGATAGATGGGCGGCCCAATTCGATCGCGATGCAAAATCAACACCTTCATTCCAGACTGATGTCAGCGCTCT